ATTTGTTGCATTGTCTGGGACATGCGCTAAAAGTGGAAGATGAGCATGTTACCCACAACGGTTTGGTAGGTGATGGGCAAGCAAAACCGTGCATTATGAATTGGGAAAACTGGTGGTTTAAACCATGAGCGCGAGGCCCTCTACTCCGGAATGATCAGCTGTGTACAAGGGGGCTGCGCTGCTCATGTAGCTGCCTGGGGAGGACCGCTTCTACTCGTTTGGATGCAAAAGAAATAGGGTCTCTGTACCCATGGTTTACATCGCCCTTACGTTTGGCCAACATTTTTCCGACCCTGGAAACGCCCTTTGTGCCAAAAACTATGGAACTGCTGCAGGCCTTCTTTTGGCTGGCGACGCAGGCATTTTGGTCGTGTAGCCCAAGCTGCCCAACCCCTGAAATTCGCGGCGCGTCGCCGATTGCGGCAGAGGAAAATGGCTGGGCGTGGATTCATTGGAGGTAATGGGCGCTGGATTTCAGAACATAGCACCCACTTGTGCTATGTTATGCTAATTTGGAATGGACATTTGAGTTGTACAACCAGAGTTGTACTTTCTAAATTTGTCATGCTCATAGTTTTTCTTGATGAATATTCTGAACACATAGATTGAGCATGATCTGTCCAGGAACAATGTTAGGGGTAAACAAATACTGGATGGTAAAAGAAATGGCATATGCATGGATAGTTTTGCTCCCTGCTGAACTTGGTCAGCCCAAAACGTTTTGCTTAGTGCTCCGGCTCGAGAAGACCGTTAGGTTCGTTATAATAATAGTGATCATGGGACGCTCGACTTGTTTTCCAGCTTGGGGGGCGGCTTGTGTTCTCAAGCCGAAGCCGGGTAATGGGTCCCCCAGTATCATTATTTTATCTTGTCATGCAGAATCCAAGCCTTGGGCACTGGGCCCATGTTCTTGAACTGCCACTACCTTTTGCAGGCAAAGTTGAGAATCGATAATGCGACATTCCGAAGACTTCAGATGAACAGTGCTCTGCCGGACCAAAGTGGCTGGTGGTGTTCAGCCGAAAGAAAATAAAACGCCGCTGTGGCAGTTGTTTTTTCTTTGGGTGAAGGGCAATCCGCCTCGGCAAAAAGAGGCTCAGAGGTAGTGGTGGTTAGAAAAAAAGAAATAAAAAAGGTGTGGTAGCCTTGGGAAAAAGAACTTTGGGAGCAGAGGTGGGTTAAATAAGTGTCGCCCACCGATTGGATTGCCTTGTGCAATTTCCTGGCACCACAGGCACACACAGTGTGTGTGTGTGTGTGTGTGTTTGTGTGTGTGTGTTTGTGTGTGTGTGTTTGTGTGTGTGTGTTTGTGTGTGTGTGTGTGTGCGTAAGAGAGAGAGAGAGAGAGAGAGAGAGAGAGAGAGAGAGAGAGAGAGAGAGAGAGAGAGAGAGAGAGAGTAAATAAATACGACTTTGCCAATCGCGATCTCCTGTGGCCGGTCATGCTCTCCCTCCTCCTGATTGGCTTACAATGTGAAAAATCTTGAGGAAACAAGCACAGTCTAGAGAGAAAGCAGTCATGACCTCCTATGGACACTGGCATCCCAACCTCTCCCTCATCTCCTGTCTTCTCTCCTTCGTACTACTCCTGTTTGTCCACATTCTTATGCGTCCGATTTTCGTCTGCGGCTAGTGTATTGAACGATGCTGTACCATACAACGATTCATCAGGCCCACACCGCGTTTTGCAAGATCCTCTACATTTGCAATGGGGTACGGTTCAGTCGACAATTTATTCTAGAAGTTTTTTCCTGGAAATTGAGGCCCTGTCCAATCATCCAATTTTGTTTTGTGCAGTAGCGTTAGCTTAATTCAAATTTTGTCACTCTCTAGTAACCCATTGGCGCCGCCTTTTGGGGTTTCCGTAGGGACCGATTCACTCTGCGTAAACTTTTGGCGAAGATGTTTTTGACCTGATTTTTTGGCTTCCTGATACTGTCGGAACCAGTTGGCTGAGAGCTAATGTTTCAGTGCTTATTTTACTGTACACTTCACTAAAACTGACGTGCACATGTGAATGTAGATCTGACAGCTTTGCACAATGGATGTGCTGATCGCTGCCAATTATTGATCAGTGATTATGTTTCTCTGTTCAGTGTGAAGCTGGTGTGAGTCTGTGAATGTAAGATCCATGATTGGGCACAGTGCAGCGAGACATGGTTGTTTAGAGTTGGCCAGGAATGTGTAGTGAATAATAATTCAATAGTTATATAACGGTTCTATGGCTTCTCCCCTTTGCCATTTTGTAAGCTGATAACGAGAATTGGCGTGCACTAGAAACAGGAATGGAATAAAAAATGAATTCCAAATCCAGTGGAAACTTCACAACCTGCCTTGAATCGATATTGATGTGAGAAAAGTAAAAAATGAAGACAGTGTGGGGAAAATTCTCTGATGGGCAGGCCCTACAGGCATGTCAGTGAGACAGGACCAACTGTCAAAACACCACTTTGCGCCCGAGGCCAAAAAAAAGAGTTTAAACTTAAAATTTAAATGCATGCATCCACCGCTCTCGAGGGTGCGTCACTACTGGAACAGAATGGCTAGTGGTTAATGGGTGGGGCATCATTGTCGGTGAATTTTTCACCGAAAAAGAACTGCCGTATATCCCTGATTTTTTTTATTTTATTTTTGGTGTGATATCATGATATGTATGTGCTTTAGGGTACATCTGTATCCAGTGTCGATGTATTTGGAGAAGTGATGAAAAAGTTGTCAAAAACACCGAATTCGGAGAAAATTTTGGTGAACTCTGAAAGTTATTCCGCATAGGGTTCTATAGTTGAGTTTTCTTTTTCGTTTTTCCTTGCCGGTCTGTTTTGTTTTTGTTTTAATGTTTGTGTTATGAGCCTGCATTGTTTGTTCAGAAAATTTTCCACCCTCATTATGAGCCTGAATTTTGGGTCTTGCATTAACCGCTGCTCCCCAAAAGAAAAGAAATCCCACCCGTGCGGGTCAGTTTCGTTCTGGTGCGCTGCACAATTTTGGATCGGCAAAAATAACTTCGCATGTAGTGAACTGGTTTAGTTTGCAACATCACAAAGGTGGTGTACATACAGCAAGTTTGCGGTGGCGCAGGGCAGAACAACAAGTTGGGCTGCGTCCTGAACACAGTGTCAATGCCCATCTTTCTTTCGGGCTACTTCGACAATTATCCCCGTTTCATAATCATCGTTATTGTGATCATCATTGTCAGCATGAGTATCATGGCCATTTCTTTATCGTCATGGTGGTCATGGTAATGGGAATCATCTTTCAGCCGTTGTGATCTTCGTGATCTTCATGGTAGTTGTCATTCGCATGGCAGTATCCGTGACAGCATTGCGAGGCTGTGCTCAGTTCAGGTACAAAGACAATTTCCTCTTTCTTATTTCATATCATAGCCATTGTGATTATCATTGCCAACAAGAATATCATGCCAATTTCCTCGTCATCATGGCATTCAGAATAATTGGGCCTTGTGATATAAAGCGTCGGGATCTCCATGATTTTCGTGGTAGTTGTCACGGTCATGGCAGTATTCATGACAGTGGTGCAAGGCAACTTGCATGTTGAAAGCTGTGCGCATGTAATTGATTACTTCACATGTGGGTCAGTGATGGAAGCCGTGTACATGATGAGAGGGGGGTCGACCATAGGACTCCTATGACCAGTGAACATGGCAGTCCACGATTCAACTCACTGTTTTGTGTTGTTCTGTTTTCGTCCATAGTTTATCCCTTTGTCCTGTTGGATCTTGGGACTGCAATGCTTGCACCCGCAGTCCTATGGCCGATCCCCCTCTCAGATGTTTGCCTTATTGGGATAATCATTTCTACAGGATTGTGCACATGGAATCTATTTGAAGGGATGAATTTTGTGAATTGTGAGCATGGAATATTTCTGCATGTAGGTGTTGCTCTCTCTGTTGGCTTTTTCCGGTGCCTGTTGTATGCACCACATGTTAGATTGTCTTAAACTGCCACTGCCTTTCTCATGTGTCAGTCATGGGGTAGGTCCCACTCGTTTCAGAGGCCAGTAGCCGCCGATGAAAAATATCAGCGGCTGCCCGGCGGTGGTTTTTACAGATGAGGTCATTCTCCCAAATGGGACTACGGCTGCAAAAGGTAGTGGTGGTTCAAAGCATTTGATGCAGTTACGGAGTGCCATGATGTCAGGTCCAGACCGTGGGCGGAAGCTGATACTTCGGGCCTTGCTCAACTAATCACCACATACACAAAAGACAGAATATATGGTGGGGCATCTTTCCATGTTCTAGTGGAAGATTCTTTTTTCTTTTGCACATTTGTCGAGTAGTGGGGCGAGTCCACCATTTGCTTGATACTGTGAACGCGGAGCCTGTGTAGGTGGGTTTTCTTTTTTTTTTCCCCCTTTTTCTCTCTGCGGATCATGAACAGAAGTCTGAAGGTTGCTTTGCTGTGTGGGTTGCTACGTGCAGGCTGTTTATGTTATTACAGTTATGAACAGGTCTGACCGCTCAAAACGAATGTCGGTGAGTGTGCTTGCCAAAGCTATTGCATGGTGTGATGAATCTAACTTCTGGAGACAATTGACTTGGATATCTGTATGTGAATGCGGTTTATTACTGCATGAAAAGACACACAAGAAGGAGAGGGTCACAAGTTTTGTGAAAGTGGTGATTTGATCAGTTGAAAGTGGTTTGGGTGTTGGGCCATTGGTGTTGGTGAGAGCTGTCAGAGGTTCTGCAAGGTTATGTGGACTATGGAAGTCTCCGAATCAATAAAAGGAGCCCTACAATGATTTGTCTGGGGAGCTTGGAAAAGGAAGAGAAAAGTGGAGATAGACAAATGTGACCGCAGAGCTAGAAGAGAAGGGGGGCCTGACGGTCTAGAAATATGTGGAGAACAAATAATGTCCAATCGCATGGTTCTGCTGGCACTACAGCCTGCCATATATAAGGTTTGGCTGGCTACTATGCTACACCAATGTGTCCGATTGTTGCGGGTACCAACATGAATGCCTGATGTTTATAGCTGCACAAGTGTCCTTGGTAGTGATGCGCAGGTCATTCACCGGTTTCATATTCTATCCACACTGTGGATGAATGGATGTGATCGTTGATGGACCTTGTGAATGTATGTTCTATGTTGTCCATGGTTTTTCTCCCTTCTCTCTGATGCTGTGATTGCCATTGGAATCAGAATTTGTTGGCCTTTGCTGTCCAGAGAAGCCTGGGAGTTATGGGCTGGCTTCAATTGTGGCTTGTGGTATACAACAATACAAACTTTCATATGATTATGTTCAGAATCTGCATGGCTTTGAGAGGTCCTATCAATTGATCCATGTGGTCTGTTTACTGGTGAGCCCTGTATGATCTGGCTGAAACTGCTTTCTCCTCTTTTTCCCTGTCCTTCTTTTTAAAGTGGGTAGCCCCAAACATTAACGTATCCTTGTATCGGTCAGCCATTGCCCAGGTAGACTGCAAATTCCTTTCATTTATGATATGTTGAATAGGAATGTGCCTCAGGCAGTCCGAGTAAAGCCAGTTGAGCATCTTCCAGAGCTCTCCCAGGACTTCTGGATGTCACTACGTCATGAATTTCTTCTGCTGACCTTCAGTGAGCAGGACCGTTGTTATCTTGTCATGTTGTTTGTAGCTGTCTGATGTTTTCACAAGTGTTTCCTCTTTTGTGCCACAGATGGGTGCCTTGAATGTGGAGGAGATTTCAGATTGGCTGACGGCCCTTCAAAATGTCATTCACAGCCAAGTGATGGTAGGAACTATTCAAACGGCTCTCTCTCTCTCTCTCTCTCTCTCTCTCTCTCTCTCTCTCTCTCTCTCTCTCTCTCTCTCTCTCTCTCTCTCTCTCTCT